GATAAGTACAATATTTATTATGTGGTGTCTGATAAGTACAATATTTATTATGTGGTGTCTGATAAGTACAATATTTATCATGTGGTGTCTGATAAGTACAATATTTATCATGTGGTGTCTGATAAGTACAATATTTATTATATGGTGTCTGATAAGTACAATATTTATCATGTGGTGTCTGATAAGTACAATATTTATCATGTGGTTTCTGATAAGTACAATATTTATCATGTGGTGTCTGTTAAGTACAATATTTATCATGTGGTGTCTGATAAGTACAATATTTATCACTTGGTGTCTGATAAGTACAATATTTATTATGTGGTGTCTGATAAGTACAATATTTATTATGTGCTGTCTGGTAAGTACAATATTTATTATGTGCTGTCTGATAAGTACAATAAAGATACTCAGTGAGGAAAAATGTAGCAAGTATTCTAGCATATGTATTTACTCGCAACAATATTATTGTGTACAAATGTTTCATTTCCATGGCATGGTATGTACACATATTGAAATGTATTCTCAACATTACTGAGAAAGTTGATTAAGTGCGATAAAATCTTTAATATTAGGAAGTCATTGACAAAAAATTAAAAAAAAAAAACTAATGAATTTATTGATTTGACTGTTGCCTATAAATTTTGTCCAGATATATGTAATAACTTTTAAAATGTGAAATAAAATTTTTGGAGATAACAAAAAGTATTCGAGCTCAAAAGTCCATTAAACATTACAAAATAGGAGCAGAGCAAACACGGACCTCTAAGATATCAGAGGTGGGATCAGGTGCCATGGAGGAGTGAGCATCCCCTGCCGACAGGTCACATCCGCCGTGTGCTCCTTATCATGATCGGGAAATAACGGAAAAATCCGTCGACATTTCAGTATGCAAATAATGGCGTAATAAGTATGAATAAAGTCAGTCAGCTTTTGACTTAATAATAGATTGTATTTGCTGACTAGGTCATTGTATCGACCATAGAACTTATGAAATGATGGCTTTAAACGAGACTGCTGATATTCTTGATTCATCAACTTGTTTGTCATTAACTTACCTCGATTTAGAAATTGTTCATACGTAGAACATGCTCTTGCGTATCGAACCAACTGAGAGATATAAACTCCGTATGCAGGTGATAAGGGTATATTGCTGCATAGGTAAGGGAAGTTGATGATTGAAAAATTAAAGTCATCACGTTTATCATAAAGCTTTGTTGTTAGATTACCATTAACGTCTTTTTCTAATAAAATATCCAAATATGAAACAGATGTGTCAGACTCTGTGGTATCTTTAAACTCAAGCTCAGCGGGAAATATCGTGTCGACATAAGAATGGAAATAACCATTGTTAACTGACAATACGTCGTTGATATATCTAAATGTCGAGCTGAAGGCCACAGCAAGTGTTTTCTTCTTTTCTCGTAACATATTTTGAACAAATTCTGCTTCATATGAATACAGAATAGGTCTGCTAATAAAGGGGCGCAATTGGTACCCATGGGAATTCCAATGGATTGTTGGAAGACCTGGTCTCCAAAAAGCACATAGAAATTGTCAATCAGAAACTCGACCATCTTTTTAATGTCAACTTCAGAGTACTTGTGTGTACAATCAGATTGTTTTTTGACAAAGTAATTTTGCAAATGACCAATGACAAGGTAAGTAAATTTACGAGTTCCATTTTTATTGAAAAAGCAGCTGTCAACGATTTCAGAAAGTCTGGACTTTAATTTACCGTGGGGAATAATTGTATATAAAGTTGAAAAGTCGTAAGTTTTTATGTTGTTAATTTTGGTAAAATTTTGTGATTTCAAATGTTCCAAAAGATCCTTTGAATTTTTTAGTATCCACATCTGGTTTACACCACTTCTCAAATATATTGTTGCACAGTACTCTTGAAGGTTCTCCTTCACTACTGTTAATATCTTAGTGAGGAGTAAAGAAAGAGGCTTGGTAGAACATTTACTAGAACCCGCTTTGTATCTTTGTTTGTAAGGATTTTTATGAAGTTTCGGAATCCAATATAGATATGGTATTTCAAATTCAATTTGATTGTTGGGAATATTAAAAATATTCAAAACTGACATATGATTTTGAAGAATTTCTTCCTTAGAAAGGGAGCTATGGGTATAAGTTGGATTACCATTTGAAGAATTAAATCCCAGTTGCACTAAAATACAATTTATGTAACATGATGAACCTTACAAAGAAAGACAATGTTGTAACCTGCTTTGTCAGCAGGGACCAGTACGCACTGATCGTGTAATCAATCTAATTCTTTTTTCACTTCTGAGTTATTGAATACAGAAGGATAGATAGTTTTCATACTGCCCCTAAATTGTTTAATTTTAACATATATCTGATACATTTTATCCATTGTGACAAAGTGTCAAGGTCTTCTTTTCATGTCTGACCCAACGCCTGGCGTAATCCTCTACAGAATACATAATATGCATGAAATTACGACGCCAGTTAAAGGATCGGGGTTCCTTATATTTAGGACCTTTTAAAATTAGTGATCTAAGTTCCTCATTATTAACTAAATTTACGTCACCAGATCAACCGCGTCAATTCCTTTGTTTGCATATTGGAGTTTAAGGAAAAAACGGGTTGTTTCAGTTGCATTTTCTTCTGTAATACGTGGTTTAAAAAGCCTATGATTTACAATATCCATAATCACAGATCCAAGCCTATATTCTGGTGTCGAGGAATCAAAAAATGGACTTTCCTTGACCTTTTCAAGTAGACTATTCAATAGTTTCAAAGGGACAGAGTAAAGTTTGGTGCGAATGTGATGAAGACCTAACTGTTGATTTACATAAGGTAGTAACGAATCAAATGAGACATCGTGTATTAAAGGTTTATTGTAAGACCAATGCCCATGACTACGTTTTCGTCTCTGTGTTGGTGGTTGAAAAGTCCCATCACATTGATATTGTTTAACTGTGGACTGGAAAGATTCCCAACACTATCGACATTGTCATTGCATCCATAGGGAAAGGCCGTCCCTAGTTTTCTAATCCAAAATTCTTCTCGTTGTCTACGGAAAGGTGTACTCAGTGCTGGACTGTTTGTATGATGGTAAATCTTTTCTAGAATTCTAACTTTCATTGACAAAATTGAATGATCAGTTAAATTAAAGTGCTTGTAGAGAAGCTGCTGGCCCCCGCTGTTTATTTGAAATCTATGACCCGATATTCTTTTATGAAGTGAACCCTTGGTTTCACCAACATAAATAAGCCCACAAAGATTACAGTCTATTCCGTAGACAACATTAGAAGATTTGCAGTACAGATTTTCCCAAGTTTTGGTAAAGAAGCTCTGTCCAGTAAGACTACTAGTGAAAGAAGTGTAAGTTATCAAAATGTCACAGGTTTTACAGTTTTTCGCAGAACACTTAGAAATAGAAGACCTGGATTCGGAAAAGGAATCTTCAAATATGTCTCTTATAGAAACTTAACATTCTTTCAAATTTTTGTATGAACTATCGGTATTATACCAAAACTGGGAATCTGAAGACTGCACATGTGACATATGTTTAATATCCATAAACACAAATTTAGATCACATCTATTGAAGCACGACATGCCGAGGAATACATGACCTTACATACATGTATGTACTTTTCTGTATACGTTTTCAGTTTGTCCAAATATTTATAAATCTTTCACATGCATGTTTATTTCCGTGATTTGCTTTATGTTATTTTATTAAAATCATTTGAACCATTTTAAACCAGTGTTGTGTCTTTGTGTAGCGTTTGAAGCAAGAGTAAGTGACGTTAAAGGTGGATTATTTTTCCGAACACTTTCTTCTTGTTTCTCTCCGCCCATCCTCCGTTGACTTCCTTTGCGAAGTTATTTTACGTTACTTTTTTAAAAAATATATTTTTACGAAGTTTTTTTTCCATATATTATATAGGTAGGTGACGCTTACTTAGGTATTCTTTTTAATATTTCAACATTGGCAAAGAAGAAAATGTCCTGAGGCTCATCAATTACTTCTCCATCTGTTGCTATACGTGAAAATGTATGCACAGCGAAATGAATATGGGAACATTTCAAATAATTTTAAATATAATAACCAAATGCAAGAAGCTATAGCGCAATAAGTTTGGAATTAAAATTGTGTGAGACTTAATAGAGTTGTGGATGTAGAGATCAGTAATGTGATTTATCCAATGTTAACCCTTTTATCCATTGGATTTTTTTCTTCATATCCCACTGCTGTGACGTCACAATAGGTTTTGCATGAGAGTGATGAAGTAAAATGCAGTGAATTCCTATAACAGTGTAAAATATTGATAGTGATGTATAAAACATGGGATAAAAAGAATCTCCCATAATTTGTAATTAGATTTGATTTTTATCCAACTACAAATCATGGTATATCCCATATTTAGACCTTGGATAAGGTTATCGTGCGGCGGTAGACGTAATCTATTTCAAAAAGCATCACATATATATCTATCTAAAAATATATGCAAAAGTCAATCGATAAAGGCATTAGTTTTTTTTTTAAATTTTATTGATGACTTCCTCGTCTTACAGATTTTATCGCAATCATCGTATATACTCTAAAACAATCAGACGTGAATAAATTTTTAAAAATCATTTACTTAATTCGTTTTAAACAATCTTACATTTTTTTTATTTTAATGAATGATGTGGGTATCACGTGACCTGTGTGTACACATCTTTACTCTTTCTTAAGCTTGATACTACATATACTTGTTTTACGTAATATTTGCAATCCTATGGACAATCTACTCGAGTCAAGCAAGTGTGCTACTTCTCTGTACTACGATTTAATGACGATCAATTATCACCATTTTGTCTTCAACACTACGTCGTTGTGGCTTTTTTTTCCCATGGAAAGGCGATACATATTTACAATAGCATCTCCAATTCTTCGCGTCTTTGGGGTAGAAGGTGAGGGTTTGCTGTCGACAAAGGCCTTCATTCACTCTCTTTATGATCCAAAAATCCGTTCATTGCATAAATAACAAAAATCTACATCGTAACTTCGAACTAACGCGTTTTATGCCTTGCTCTTTGAACCTGGTGTTCATGCTCTTTTTGTAACCAAGTGAGGAATGGTCATTTGTAGTCGTAACGATCTTCCAATCCGTACGCATCAGCTGGTAAACTTTCTTTTCCGTTCTCCCCTTTGTTACTGTTATTCTTTTCCATCGAGTTGTCCATATCTGCCTCATGATGTTCATAGAAATCATACGATATCATGGCGATCACAATTACATTCTTCAAAGAGAAAATGGAGACGCCATGATTTAGTCCATGCCATAAAATCATTCTCATGACCAGGAGAGGAAGGTTGACAATGTAAGCCAGGATAATCTTATGTACCATAATCAAACGTCGAGGTAACTTGGCGTATCCGAATTTGGTATGCGACAGGGTAAGAAGTGGTACGGTTGGTAAGACAAAATTTAGACAGGCTACAGCCACTATGGCTTCTACGAGACCTGGTGGAAAATCTTCACGATCTTCTTTGATAAACAGCGGTTCCATGCTATCCACACAATCCAAGATATCAAAAATAACAGTTCCTGATAGTTCTTCGATGTATGCTCTCCTCTCCGATCCCGGCTTGGCGTCATGGAGTGAAGAAAGATGTAGCAGGAATATTACTCCGGCTAAGGCCAAAGCAGTTTTCAGTGTGTTTGGACCAAAAAAATCATTTTCATCGAGATCGTCTGCGAAATCAATGAAAATGATACCCGACTTAGTCGCCACAATCACCGAATATAGAAACCAAGAAGCTAGACCCATCCAAATACCCATTTTTTCCATCTTTGTGTCAGTATTTGAACTCTTGAGACGATTATATGACAAAATAAATGACGCAACAAATAGGCAAAGAGTTATGACGTCAGCTGCGAGGAAGCCCAACCATGTAGTGTCTTTATGTTCCACCAGATAATAATCAACAATACTGAAATGGAGGATAATAACCAAAACACAAATCAAGCGAACAGGCAAGTGTTTCAATACACGACAGCACTTGATGAAGCAGTTCGCCATGTTTTCCTCTAAAGCGCCTCACTTCTTCACCTATAAGAGAATATTAATTCACATCAGCTTTTAAAGCTTAATAGAATACTCGTAATCAAATCTACATTACGAAACCACCTGAAAATAAATGGAAAATGTCAATAAATTCACACTTTAGAAATATTGATTGCACAGTAATCCATCCCCTGAACTGTTTAAAATGTTTACCTTCTAAACAAGAATACCCGAAAACCATTTAATTAATCAACGATGGACAAGATCTCCTCATAAGTAGGTCAATACCAATTAATATCTACAAATGAATCTAATTAAGAGACCGCAAGTACGAAGTTCTATGAGAAAGGCTGGCTGATTACATTAGACAACGAACACCCATTCTGAAATTTCAAAACATCTCAGTTCTTGTTTGTCAAACTTCCACCTACGTACACAAGTTTTTTTCGACGTGTGTTATTACCAAACAACAAAAAGAGAAGTTCCATTAACTGACAGCTCTGCAAACATGTACACTGTCCCAGATTATAAGATAAGCGTTCAGTTGACTTATTCTCGTGACTCTGTCATAGCAGTATTTTTAAAAAATTGTCGCTTCAAACTTTCAGTCGCATCTACGATTAATCTACATATATTTGTTTTGCAATTTTCAAGTAAAGAAATCTACAATGATTCATAGCAGAAATTTTGAAGCACGGGGAGAGAGAGAGAGAGAGCGCTTTATAATATGCATGCTTTTACTTATTGATCACGGAAGGAGTTTTTCATGTGTGTTGATTTAATCTCCATTGTTACGTAAATAAAACCATTAGTATTATCAACATGTACAAAGAAGATGAAGTCATATAATTTTTCCTTTCTTGTTAGTTTTGTTGAAACTAAGGATTTTAATTATGAAAACTGCGTTACTCAAACGGTTCGACGTGGAATTGAATTAGAAATCTTTAGAATTCTGGAAACGTATAAAGTTTTACAAGTTCCAACTTACACTCTACCTCTTGAGATTCTATCCATTAGATAACGTGTTGAATAAATATGTATGAAAACGTATTTGACAGTAGGTTAAAATCTGTATATTATAACAAGCATCGTTTATTAAAGTAAAGAGGAAATGACAAAAAATAAAACGTGGGGTAAACCTTATTACGTGTACTACAACTGAATAACCCACTATTCACTTTCCATGCTAAAGGTTTTCAGAACATGGTACATGTATTTATATCCAAATGGGTGTAGGAGCCGTTACAGCTTATTACTATGCGACCCACCGACGGGTTTTTATTTCACATTTACCTGTAGATCCTTACCTTTTAAGATAGATATTTCCCAACGCTTCACAAGTATTTTTGCACTAACAAGTTTGCGAAAAAATTGATCTTTAAATGCCGACCAAACGTTACGTCGACTCAGGAGTTGCAGATTATTTGTTCTCGTGTCGAAAGTCGAGTTATTATTATGGTTTGTTACACAATATTTACACGGTCTAATAATTATGAGGTTAAAGGTCATTAAGGAAGAAAGCCCTTCCAGGTAGTTTACTGAACGGTGAATTCTACGTACAGGACTCAAAACTAACCTATAGGTATACCTCTTTTAAAAGGGCAAACATTTTATATCCAAGTTGTGAAAATAACAACTGCACGGTAAAAATTTACCAAGACCACTAACATTTTGATTTCATTTAATTTAAACGTATTAAGTCGAATAAATTCAGTAAGGATTTTGGGAAACGGACAAAGCCTATATATTTTCTTTGTACATGTTTATTAATAGGTCAAAACAAAGAGTTATTTATTTTTACATGTTAATAAAACATACAAACATGCATACATACATACATTATATATATATATATATATATATATATATATATATATATATATATATATATATATAATTATATATATATATATATATATATATATATATATATATATATATATATATATATATATATATATATAGATATATATTTAAAATAAAGACGAAAATTACGAAAAACCTCAGTAAAGCTTTAGAGATAGAATGAAAGGCCTAAAGCTGAAAGTTAGATAATCCCGCAAAGCCACGCCTTTTAGTGATTTCTTTTTTACTTTTACATCCATTAAAACCAAGTAAAAACATAGATATATTGTCATTGAGAGCATATTTACATGTTTATACTGTACTACAATGTATATATATGTACTACAAGGAGACAGGATTTTTTTAATTTTTCACTCGTGCTTCGCACTCGTGAAAATATAAAAAAATCCTGTCCCACTCGTGAAATAAATTCCATATTCATCTACAAAACATTGAATATCCTCTATGTATTTCAAAAGTGAGTCTAAGGGAGATGAATCATTTGATACGAATATTTAATATAAATTTCACATTAGGTTACTCATGTGATGTGACACAATTGTTCCGTAAAATATACAAATTTAACTCATTTTTGTCAATTTTCTGATATCTTAATCTTATTTCAAATTCTATAGAGAGTGTTAAAAATGACGCCGGTGTAACTACGAAAAGTGACCCCCGTAGAATATTGACCGGGGATCATTTTTCGTTGTAGAAATCTGACCCCCCTGACACCGTAGAATAATGACCCTGTCATTTTTTGATAAAACATGGTTTTGTAAAGAAATTTTTTGTTAAACAAATACATAGGGGTCATTAAAATCACAAAGTCAAGTATTATTTGAAGTGTTTATTTCTAAAAGCTTTAAAGTTTAAATAACAAAATTAAAAGGTATTACTATACTTTACATAAATAATACAATGTGGTTTATCCCATTTAAAGGAAAACATAACAAGGCTATTATGATGTTCTTTGACTATTAGAACAAGAATACGCGCTTTCTTTGATTTGTTTTATCACATTTAAGGTTTTCCATCCCTAATAGGACCAAATTCTCTATCCTTAAATGTTCATCATGTACATAATACTTTGATATTAATTTAATTAAAGCATTTTATAGTACAAAAGGATTTACCGAAAGAAAGTTTCAAAAATGAAATTTACTAAGCAGTAATTAATTAACAAAAATTGCTTTGAAGTCTATGGAGACAAGAGAGTTTTTAAAAATTCAAATAATAATATCAATAAATATTGTGGTAGAAAGATGCATTAAACATTAGATATAGAATGACAATTGAAAATGGTACTTTTATCAGATAATTTTTTAAGATTAATCCTTCCATGCTTATAGTAATAAATGGGAATTATGTCTAAATATACTGAGTATTCAACACCGACACATCTGATATGTATTCAATTTCATTGAATCTTTTGCTATTAAGGATGGAATACCTTAATGACAATAACTTAAAAATTTTCAGTTTCCACAGTTTAAATTATCTAAATGTGCAATGAATCAAAATAAAGTCTTCTTTCTTCTTCATAAGTTATAAAAAAGATTAACGTTTTAAAACTCTTCCCAATTAGTTTTAAAAATAGCGATTGTTAAAAAAAATTGATCTCATACTCATCTTTTAATTTCTATGAATGAAGTCTTAAACTTCTTCTCATAAAAATATACTGAAGATTAAATATGTGAAATATATAAATCCAGATTAAATATGTGAAATATACAAATCTTAAAAATATCACACAGGACTGAATCAATATGCCTCTGACCTTCGATATCAGGGACACAAAACGTGATTAGCTCAAAACCTTTACCAGTGTCTTTTGTTGTTTGCTAGTGTCAACAAAGCTTTCACAAAATGAGGCTTTTTACAAAGAAAGAGGTGTTTAACACCAGTCTATACACGGTAATATCATCTTCTATCAATCTCCCTCCCTTTCCCCACTACTTCCCCACACCTCTCTCTCCCACTCTCCCCCAATTTCTCTCCCTTCCGACTTCCTCTCTCTCCTCACTGTCTCTCCACTCTCCCCCTCCCCACTCTCTCTCACCACTCTTTCTCTCTCCCACCCTCTCTCTCTCCCTCCCCACTCTCTTTCCCCTCTCTCCCTCCCCTCTCTCTGTCCCCTCACTCTCCCCCCGCTCTCTCTCTACCCACTCCACTCCCTGCCCCCACCCTCTCTTTCTCCCCACTCTATCTCTCTCTCCACTCTCTCTCTCTCTTCCCCCACTATCTCCCTCTCTCTTTATTTTTTTTTTTTGACCGTCTGACTCATTTATTATTAGGCCTTGTGAAAAAAAATATTATATATGCACAATACATAGATGTTTCAAAGTTATTTACAATTAAATTAATGAAAAAAATACTTATTCCAGAAGAAAGACAAAATTCTTACTGTTAACAGAAAAGAAATTATAAAATTTTTATTCTTGATCTTTTTACTTTAAACTGGATTTGGCAAATTTGTTTATTTTTGCAAAAAAATGAATGTAATTTAAAATTATAAGGGCGATAACTTCAAACAACAGAAAATACTGCTTCCCTGTTCACAATTTGTTCATTGCGTTATATGTTTGCGCATTTAATTTTATATGCTTGGAAACCAATATTTATATGCATACTAACATGCAAGGAACATACGTCAGCTTGAAATCTAAGTTAGATATTATTTGTTGTACCGTTATGAAAAATAGATGCCCTAAATTATCCACATACAAAGAGGAGGTTTATAAATATCCTTTATTTCATCTAGTATGTAATAAGGGTTTGACATTCACTATCCCTGTCCCTTGTAAGCTTTCAGTTTACTATATTTTCATAATTTTTATCTTGTTCAGACATTACTCTGCTAACCATAGATTTCAACATGTACTAAACGGTTTTGAATGGACGGTGTTAAATGATTAACCGTTGGGCTATCAACGTAATTTGAGTAAATGTTCACCTTATTACAGGTCCCAGCAAAGCCTCTGGGAAAATTAAAATCATTCACTTAAGTAATAGAGCAATTCAATCAAAAAAAGAGTCAAGCAAATTGTGGGCTTAAAAATTGTACCAAAGTTGCCTCTGTCGCGCATAGGAAACCTCCTCAATCTACATGTACTGTACATAACATTTTTGAGATAAAGTTTATAAATTGTAAAACACTTGAAGTAAGCATTTAATTCTAAGTCTGAAGGAAGAATTAAAGAAGGAATGCCACACCAATTTTTTTTTTTATAGATCTTTAAGACATCCCCTTTAAACTATGGTTTCAGCATTAAAAGGCCGACATTAGCTCTCAATTATTTTATAAGATTTTTTTCCTAATTTTTCATAGAAAATGCAAAAAAGTATTTATTTGCAAATAAGATGTTTTATAGTTAAAAATTTGCTATTAATAAATGCAGAAAATGAATATCTAATAAAATATGTACACAAAAGCAAGCTGGACATTTTAATTTTTTTACTAAAAAAATATTTATGGAAATAAAACACAGTATTTGCGAATATTTTCGAAACCTATGAATAATATATTCAAAAAAAGAAAACAAGTCACAGTTACAATGAATATGCTAGACAATCATATTTTATGAGGAAATTAAAATGAAAATACCAAATTTTAGAAAAATTATTATTTTTAATTTTGGCCAATCCCAATCGATAACATTTTCACAAGAATACTAGTTTGTTTAGGGGTTTTACGGATTAAAAGGTAAATGAACTTGACAATCAAATAGATTTCTTAGAGGTAAATACATAAAGAGGACGATAATAATTACTTTATTTATTTTGTGTTAATTTTGATCGGGATCAGTTTCATTTTGATCGGGATTGATCCAAATACAGCTATATTAAAATGATTATTTTCCCTTAATTTAGCAATTTCATTTCAATTTCTTTTTAAAATATGATTGACTAACATGTTCTCCCTAGTTGTGACTAGTTTTATAAAGATTTTATCCATAGGTACAAAAATATTTACAAATTTTGTATTTTATATTCATAAATAATATTTAATCTAAAAAATTAAAATGTCTATCCAACCTCTCTTTACACATTTTATTAGACATTCATATTATACATTTATTAATAGCAAATTTTAAACCATAAAGCATCTTTGATTTGAACGTATTTTATTGTCTATTAACTTTACAAATGGGATTGGGCAAAAGTTCTAAAAAAAAATTAATACGCCCTTTCCCTACAAATAAATTATACCAAACATATTTACATATATGGGTTTCAGCTTAAAATAAATAAATACAGAAAAGCATAATAATCAGAGAAACAATATTCAATTTGATACATTTCTTAAATAATACACAAGCTGTATAGAATTCGTAAAAAGTAATAATTGTATCAACCAAAACAACCTGACTTTTTAGTAAATGTTTGTACAATGGAAAATAGGTATTCATTTCCAACATCGTTTAACGTTTCACCTCCCCACAGTAAAGTGTGAGTATCAACTGTACGTAATTTTCCCATTCGCAGAAATGAGTCAAAAAATTCTTTTCTGGCCTCTGTATATTTTTTGCATGAAAAAAAAATAATG